GCAAGGCTATATTTTCCGCATTTTACAACATTTTGCAACGAAACTTTAGAATATTACTAATTTTGTGATGCTCCTTCAAGCTGTGATGAAATTTTTGTCTAGACTTGTTTAGTTCAAAATTTAGTCTATTACGCAAATGGTCAATTAAGTGACCGTCCACTAGGGACGATACTTAAAGACGGTGAGACAAAGGATTTGTGCACTGTGAGGTTCAGTTTAACATCAAACAAGCTTTGGAGTTTGCTGGGCTTCCAGAACATCATATCATGCGTTTGGCTATTTGGCTTCTTTTTGCCCTCTTCATATCGTTTTTGACCCCTTCAAGCGTTTCATACTATTAATCACAAAATTCTGATATTAGTAAATTAGAATACTATGGAATTAGAGCCACAGTATGGGAATGGTTTTAAAATTATCTTAAAAACAGGAAACAAATTACAAAATACAATCTAGTAAAATCAAACGAAATGACTACAAACTGGCGTCCGCCAAAGCTCAATACTGAGGCCACTACTTTTTTACTATATATAAATTATATTCAAAACGGCAGTGACATAGTTTCAGCAATATTGTTTGCAGATGATACATGGAAGCATAGCTTTTAGTTGTGCTTAAGACTCTATAAATAAAACTCTTCGACTTGTTTGATATGCAAATATCATCAGTATGACATCTATACATAATGAGATTTTTGAAGAACATCATCAATTTTGAAACTTGTTAAAATATTCCAATTAGAGATAGAGAGTCTTAATGATTAAATAGTTTATGCACCCATAAGCACAATTTTAAATATTTTGTATCGTTGACAATCAAACAAAATTGATCGAGTATCTCTGGAAGGAAAAGAGCTACAAGTATTCTATCAAAGATGTAATACTGTAATTTTAAATGATCTTTGCAATGCAATGTAGAAAAGATTGGGCGGGATGTCATGTCATAAGAATTAAGTATATGTTGATGTGCACGATTGTTCCACGATATACGGCTATAGGGCAAAATATGTTTCAACTTCCTGACATGGAAACGGAAGTATAAGAGGCTGTCTTTGCATGGCTGTCTAACTTTGGAGAGTCTCTCAACACATCAATCCTTCACGAAATTGAAAGATCCGTCATGTTGTTCCCCTGCCATATTTCCTTGTCTGTATATATAATTCAGTTTAAGTGTTCTTTTGACACAAATACAGTTCCGCCTATACTGACTTGTGTTGCCACAACGTACCACACGCAAGATACAGATCAATAAAAACCAGGTAAGTATAATATACCATTGACTAAACATGTCAGTTAATAATGCCGGGGTTTGTTACAACATGAAAAATTCACTAAAAGTCTAAAGACGAAGACAAGAAAGAATGCAGATCATGCATCACGAATTTTATACAAAACAATATTAAGCATAGTTAAAATTTTAAGATCAAGTTCTGCTAACTTTTGTAGTTAAAAGAAACAATCACAGACCTTCATTCTGTGTCATCAAGCTGATCAAAATCTTGCAAGATGAAGAATCTAAATTCAGTTGCGCTGTTCCTGAGCCTTTTTATCCTCTGTGGTATAGAACGGTAAGCCACCAGTTTATTCCTCACTAAGTATACTATAGTTTAATTTTCACTTGCATACTTTAATTTACCTACATCACTGCAATTTGTATTATTTATTAATATTTTTAAATATTTGGAAAATCATACTGTATAAAAATTTCAACTTTCATGATTTGCAAAGAGCAATAATAAACAATTGCAGAAATTAGATTGCTACTGCAATAGCTGGACTATACTTAGGACTGTATGGTATCCAAACTGGCATATTATGATTAATGATTTATTTATTTTGTTATAATTAAAGCTTTAAAAAGCCAAAGGTGAAAATTTAAAATGTTTACGTTGCTTCCGCTAACGCTTAATGTTCAGCTGTCTGAGCCATCCTGTAAACCAAATGTATTGTCTAAATAATTACGAGGTAAATTGTAGAGCCTTGTCGCCTTGATCGCAAAACTAGTACTCATAAGAAGACGGAAGTCATGGTTATAGGATCCAGATATTCAGTGGCTAACGCGCGTGATTTACATGTTAAATTAAACGGGGAAATATTGAAACAGTCAGATCATTTTAGATACCTCGGTGTCGACATTGATAGCTGTTTGACATGGAAAAAACATGTATCGAATTTATCAGCGCGAATGTACCCTAAGCTCAAAATACTGAACCGAATATCGGCATTCCTTAGCTGTAAGACGTTATTAAGGATATATAAACAAACCATTTTACCAGTACTAGATTACGGCTGTATGGTTTGGGCAGGATGCGGAAAGGGGAATTCGCAGCGGTTAGAGCGTCTGCAGAATCAAGCGATGCGTATTATACTATCAGCAAATCGCAAAACGTGTACGCAAGAAATGCGCACTAAACTGGGCTTATTGTCATTAAGCAGCAGAAGGCGCTTTCTTCGTTTGCAATTAGTATATAAAATTATATACAACATTGACTGTCCACAACAACTAATTGGTTATTTCATTAGAAGATCAGTAACGCACAATAGATCCCTGAGAGACACCACGTTGTTGTGCGTAATTCCAACCAAATCGAAAATGGGCGAGTCGTCATTTCAATGTTCGGCCGCGAAAGAATGGAACGCCTTGCCAAAACACTTACGAGACTTAAAGACTTTGTCCTCTTTTAAAAACAATATTTTTAAGTTTTTCTTAGAAACTGATGCTCACGAACATCGTTGTAGCATATAGTAACTCTTAGCACTAAATATATATATATTTTTTTAAACATTTTTTATATCTATCCTGGTATTGCATGTGGTGTGGTTTTTTTTAGATAATATATAGTATTATGGATGTAAACTATTTATATATTAATGCTGGTCATCGGTTTATACCAGCTGATATTTTGTTAGCTGATCGGTTTTTACCAGTTTAAATAAAGAAGTTATTATTATTATTATTATGAATGAGCATGTGCTGTGCATAAATTAATTGGTTTGACCGTCATAATAAATCCAATTCATGTCATCAATTCAGGTTCCTGTTAAAGTTTTTTTGCGATTGGTAGGAATAACAAATATTTGCCATAGAGAAATTGGTTATTAGTGGCCTCTCCTCTGAAATTGCTTGTGATTCTTTGATTTAGTTGCATTTCTATAGCCGCTTCATGTCCGTCATCACGTGTTTGAAACGATCTAAGACTCGTTAGAAACAATGTCATTAAAAGTTACAGATGTCATTAGAAGCTTTGTCATTAGAAACCATGTCATTAGAAGCCATTTCATTAGAAGATATGACATTAGAAGCCGTGTGATTAGAAGCCATGTCATGAGCTGTGTCATTAGGAGCTATGTCTTTCGAAGCTATGGGCGCTTTCCATTTAATGGCTTGACCGGTCAGACCCAAATTCTCTATAAGCCATCTCATTATTTATCAGCTTTATTGGACACAATATAAAAGAAATATTTACAAGTTATAAGTTTAAAGGGGATAGCGCAAACGGGACAACGAGACCCATGCTATACCCAACCCCTAAACTAATATTAAACTAGTAATAGACCCCCCCCAAAAAAAAAAGGTTAAGCATGCCATATCAACTTAAAAGTACTATTGACCAACGCGGTTTAAGTCATATGCAGAAAGCTTTTAAAAGTAGCTAAGCTGGCGCACTTTTCAGCAGAGGCTATTTTCCCAACATTATTCCAAGTTTTAACTATACTATTCGGTTAAAGAACAATCCTTGGAAAGTGGATGTTCTGCAGTAAGGAGATTTTAATATTAGAGATGGATTCTGAGTACGAGTTCGATTATGAAGTATAAATGATACAAATTAAATGTTCAATGTTCAAATCAGTGTGGCCGAAAATACATTTATAGACCAGAACAAGATCTCTGATTTCTCGATCGTAAGTTAGTGGCAATAAATTGAGAGTTTTCAGTCTATCTTCATAAGACATTTCTCCAACTTTACTTTTGAGTATCCAACGTGTAGCGCGCCTTTGAACTCTTTCTAAAGCCGGTTTTCCACTAGGCGGAATTTTGCGCGCGGAGCGGAATCTTTCTTTGTCTTTTTTAATTAGTTCCACCCGAGAAATCACAAAACAAAGAAAAATTCCGCTCCGCGCGCAAAATTCCGCCTAGTGGAAAACCGGCTTAATGCAACTTGTAGCTTCACAAGAAGCTACAAGTTATTAAAAAGAGTTCAAAGGCGCGCTATTCCATGTCATTAGAAGCCATGTCATTATAGAGGCCCTGTCATTAGAAGCTATGTCATTAGAAGCTACTGTATGTCATTAGGAGCTTTGTTATTATAAGCCATGTCATTAAAAGTTATGTCATTAGGAGCTATGTCATTAAAAGATATGTCATTCGAAGCCATGTCATTAAAAGCTGTGTCATTAGGAGCTATGTCATTCGAAGCTATGTCATTAAGGGTTTTGTCATTATAAGCCATGTCATTAGAAACTGCATGTGTCTTTAAAAGTTATGTCTTTAAAAGCTTTGTTATTAAAAGCTATAGCTATGACAATAGAAGTTATGTTATTAAAATCGATGTCATTTGAAGCTATTTCATTAGAAGCTATGTTATTAGAAGCTATGTCATTAGAAGCAATATGTCATTGGAAGCTATATCATTAGAAGTTGAGTTTGGGTAATGGTCGAGGGTCGAGGGTCAAAAATCGAGGTTGAGGGTCAAAAGTCGAGGGTCGAAAGTCGAAAATACTAAATTTTTATCCATTTTAAAAGTTTTACAACCATTAAACGCGGCAAAACAATTATTTTGCTGTCAAAACTGAAAAATTTCGCCTATGCCATGCCGTATGGCTATGTACTGTATAACCGAAAGTTTCGCTTGTGAAACTAAAAGTCTGATGCGAGGTTTGATGTTTGAAAGCATACATCTTTTATTTTACATTGAAGTTTAAAATATACAAACACGGACGATTATACAAAAATGGCGTTTCACTCTCATGAGAAATTTGATTATACTTATAAATATGTTATCTCTTGAATTGGAGGCGAAAGAGTTCTGAAATTCTCAGAACTTCAACTTAAAGATACTCCTCATACCGCGTATGGTTTTGGTGGTTTAAAGCGTTAGAGTGTGCGAGAAACAGTTGATATTCCCCGAGCCGACGGCGCGAAGCGCCGTGCGAGGCTACTAATTCCCCACGGCTATTTACACCCGGGGAAAGGAACGCACTAGAAAAGTCTAAAGTTCATCAAATATCGTGGGCACATGGCTCACCGTTCATGGGTGGTCATCCTCACTGATCTCAAAAAATGTAGCGGACTGTCGTGAATAGTAAACACTGATTGGTCAAATTTGAAATTTGCATTGTGACAACAGCATTGACGACAGCAAAATAACAAACATTTAACATTTCTAATTTCTTGCAAGTTGTATTTTTGATTTTTTGCAAGATTTTGTAAATTTCAAAACCTTTCTGAGAGCTAAAAACGTCCAAAAACGTCTAAAAGAATAGAACAAAGTCGCCGACGTTAATGAAGGTAAGTTTGTTTCAAATATTGATGGATTGTTTGTTGTATAATTGATATATTTATAACTGGAACTGGTACTATCATTGCGATGAAGTGAACAAAGACAGCATATAATTTCAGTGTATAGTTTTATTAATTACCCTTTCTTTTGTATATTAAAGTATTTAATAAAGAGGAAACCAAACTTATTTTCATGCGAGAATTTGAAATCAGTTTATTGCAAACTCAATGTTTACCGATAATTCGATAAAAGGCCGTTTAGTTTTAAGAAGATTTTAAAACGTTTTGCGAGCGTTTGTGGTTGAGTTTTACATTAAATTGAAGGTTATATTACGTATAATAACATATCTAGTATACATATGTTTGGGAAATTGATAATTTTGTTATTAAAAGTGATATTGGTGGGGGGTTCAATTTTAAAACTATTAAATTCTTTGTATGTTTACATGGTGATAAAATATAATAGTTTTGTTTGTGGAAACACCACGTAAATTTACGTGGTGTTTCCACAAACAAACTATTATATTTTAAAACTATTCTTAAAATTATCGTGTTACCATGACAACTACTTTCAATTCTTCATATTCAGAAAACATAATGTTTTGTCAGTGGCGAGGGTTTCTGCATGCATGTATTTTCTAGTTATATATTTTATAACATCATGTCTGCACCGGAAGTGCACATGTTCGATTGACAGAGTCATGTTCATAATTATATAGTTGCGAGAACGTTGAAGTGTAATAAAACGGAAACTTTCTTTAGTTATTCTGTCAAAAATAACATGCACAAAGCACGAATCTTTATAACAGTGTGATTTTTGTCTGGCTCAGAATTATCTCACGACCATTGTGAGAGATTCTTGCTGCGCTCGGACCATAGGCTGGGACTCGATTCGTTCTGATAGTACAATAAGTACAATATATTTTCGTATCACCCGACCGGCACCGTACGTACGTTCTCGAATAGTTTTAGTAACTTTATACTTTCTTGAAAATCAAAAAGGAACCTAATTATGCCCTAAGGCATGTTCTGTACTAACAGTAATGAAGTTAGTTATCAGGAGAACCTTTAAAATTTTGAAAACAAATGCCAAAAATGTAGAATTCTAAAAATGTATTAATAAGCTGTGTCTTACCTAGAACCATGTCGTTAGAAACTGTGTCATTAGAAGCTGTGTCATTAGAAGCTATGTGCCATTAGAAGCTATGTCATTAGAAGCTATGTCATTAGAAGCTGTGTCATTAGAAGCTATGTCATTAGAAGTTATGTCATTAGAAGCTATGTCACTAGAAGCCATGTCATAAGAAACTGTGTCTTTAGAAGCCATGCTATTAAAAGCTGTGTCATTAGAAGCCATGTCATTAGAAGCTACGTCATTGGAAACTATGCCATTAGAAGTCATTGAATATAAAAGCCTGATTAAAAAACTTAAAACCCGGAAAAGACTATAAAAGTTCCTGCATTGGCCCCTGGTATTGCTGAAACTCAACGATCATGGTATATCTTATAGTCTAGCTGTCTGTTGAAAATCTACGGCATTAAACTCATACATCAAAGATAAGCCGTCAAACGACAGTATATTATATGTCTTTCAATGAGTACTAATAGTATAGTGTTTACCACATTTATAAATTTTGTAAACAGCTTTCGTTTTGACACAATTTTAAATTGTTTTGCTTTATATATATATATATATATATATATATATATATATATATATATATATATATATATATATATATATATATATATATAGTATTTTAACTTAAAATTGTGTCACAACTCTGAGTTTCACGCTGAGTGCGATCATCAGGTGACGGTGTTACAAGTGACGGTTGAATCTTCCGTATGATGACGTTGGACTTATGTTTGAATTATACGCGTGATGGCACAGCGTGCGCACGTTCAAACTTTCGGGAAAGTTTGAACGTGCGCACGCTGTGCCATCACGCGTATAATTCAAACATAAGTCCAACGTCATCATACGGAAGATTCAACCGTCACTTGTAACACCGTCACCTGATGATGGCACTCAGCGTGAAACTCAGAGTTGTGACTCAATTTTAAGTTAAAATACTATTTGCTCTGTTAAATTCTTGATGTTGAGCACTCTTTTTACACTATATAATTGAAATATTATTATTATTATTATATATATATATATACATATATATATATATATATATATATATATTCTTAATAATAGGCTACAAGTGACAGCTTGTATCGTCCCTATCGTATCCAGGATTGCTTGTAAATGCATGTATCACTATGACGCTATCAAATAAATATACAAATATATTTGAGAGCCTTGTTTTTTAGAGCATAATAACTAATGAATTTTTATGAACTAGAGATAGACAGATGATTCACAATGAAAACTTTAAAAAAAGTAGAAAAATCGAAAATTTATGATTATTCGTATAACAGTATATGCACGTCTGCATGACACTGTAAATTTGTGATATAGATTTAGTATATAAGCAAAATATTATATCTTATAATTAATAGAGACCAAGAAAAAGGCTAAAGCCCGACTATAATTACCGAATACGAATTATGTACTAAATTCAAAATTTTAAAGATAACTCACTGACAAACATTTCTCTGTTTGGCTAATATCAAATGTTACTGTAACATTTGCTAATATTGTGCTTTAGTCGATCCTAGACAATAAAATACTGTTTCTTTTAAAAATCTTATAAACAAGACGCGTAGTAACAAGTAAATCGGTGCAAAACGAATCTAATGGCGTAATTTAAAAACATTACATATGTTGAAATAATGACCACTGAAAAGCCCATAAACGTTAAACTTTGTTATAAAACCGCGCTCGAGTATGAAGAGTGCACTGAATAACAACACGAGATAGCATTGCGAAGTAACGATTTGCTTGGTTTCTTGACTTGACTGTTGGTAAAAATGTAAGAATGTTCTTGTATAAATTCAAAGTAAATAAAATAAACAAAAATTAGCAAGTATTTTGAATTTAATAATTTAATTGTTTAACTGTGAAACATAATATCCCTCGGGAAACATGTAATTCGAA